CAAGTAAAATATCCTCTCTTTTATTAAAAAATAGGTTCACATTAAAAATTTGGGGTCGCTTTATAAAGCAGTAAATGTTATATTCAAACATTCCCTGCAGGTGTATATTCCTGGTGTATGTGTTATATGTTATAACACATACACCAGGAAAAGTGTTATAAGGAAAAGTGTTATAACACATACACCAGGAAAAGTGAATGTTTGCCAATTGTCACATTTACTTTTTTGGTCAACTATGTACAGTGGAAGGACTTTTTATCAAACTTTATCATCAGTTCCAGCACAACTGTTGAAATGAGTCTTACATTTTTCAGTAATCGGTCCCTTTGCTTTAATAAGAAACAATACACTGAGTGGCCAGATTATTATGACCACCCCATCAGTACTTCGTTGGGCCACGAGATGACTTTGTTGGGCCGCCTCGGTGACTCCACGAGATGTTGAAAGGTGATGCGAGGAATCTGACACGGCACTGTTGCTCTTCTGTTGTCTTGTACCAGTCTTGCCACTCTCCGTTCTGCCCTAACATTGACTAGTCGCTGACGGCCACAATTTGCACATTCAGACACAGATTTTCGGCTGACAGTCCGGTCTTTAAACACTTTAACAACAGCTGCTCTTGAACATTTAACGAATTCTGCTGTTTTGCGGATACTCGCTCCATGGCTCCGAGCGCCAACAATCATCCCACGTTCAAAGGCTGTTAAATCGCGTTGTTTACCCGTATCTTCAGGGGAAAAAAAATCACTTCTACTGTCGTGGTAAACAGCCTGCTTCCCTAATGGTCTGGCCCTCTAGCAACTTCAGCGCGAAATTATAGCTAATTTGCCTACAATAGTCAGGTGGTCATAATAATCTGACCACTCCGTGTATATCCCTGGCAAACCAATAGATGAGCATACTTTCACCAAGGAAGTAACTTTCAGAGCATTAAATCAAAAGGACACGGCTAAGCATGCCTTTGATCTGACCTCCGGCTCTGTGCAGAGAATAAATAGAGGGCCGAGTGCAGGAACAGAGGCTGAGAATTCTGAGCAATTCTGTAAACAGATTAAAGACTGAGTAAGGGGGGGGGGGGGTCTCTCTTTCTTGTACTTCTATTTGCTTGTATGCTACTTTACGACTGATAATATACACTTGCAAAATTCTTTCCTTCGCAGCTATCGCCATGGAAACAGAAGTTCAGAGCCTGTGGCATAGTACATAGACAACCTGATGACAGTTGACCACTTCCCCTGTCTGGAGCAACAAATAGACCCTTGTGGTCAGAACTGGTTTTGACTGAATATTGACGGGGTGGTCCTCTGAACGTTCCTCAATTCGCTAGTCACATGATGTTACCACCCATTTAACTGCTTGTTCGCTGCTAATAAAGATATGAATCTGATTGGACAACTATACGATCACGCCCAGAATACGCCTATATCGTATGCATATTCATGACTATAAATTGTTCAGCTTTATGTATTTTTGCCAGAAATACTTCCTCTTTGATTCAGCTCACATGAGCCGAGTTATTGATATATTTTTCCACTGCAGTGCAAGAATAAAGCACCTATTCTTTTATCAATTTGTACTCACCATTTCATCTAGAAGGTCTTGTTTGGAGACTCCCGAATCTAACGTAACATGACTATTGCCGTGAAATATGATTATTTTTTTTTGGCAGTCATCGAAACTTATGGTTGAAGGCAACTTTAAGAACATTAAATTACATAATGGTTTGTGCAGTAATATTGACAGTAAAACAAAGCTGGAATTTTCCTTTCAGTTGGATGTTGAACAACGTGATCTTCAAGTAATGTCACGGCCCACTAGCATCCCTGTATATTTTCTAGTCAGCCCCAATGCCAACTGCACGGAAACATTACTTATCAATTCAGAAAATCTAACTCAGCCAATTCAAGTTTTATGTAGAGATCTATTGGCTAGGTGAATTCAGTTGTCACAATGTACCCAGAGAACATGGCTAGATCAAATTCAGCAGTTCTGTTGTCTATGGGTACTTTTAGGAGGTAGTTACAATAAATAAAAAAATGTGATACAGTGCATAGAAGCAAATTAGATCACATGACCACATGGGCAAGCCTATGTGCATATATTATATACACGAGAGCCATCTGCAGGACAACTATAAACACATAAGAGAAATACCTAAATTTACACACCTGAACGGATTGCCCTATGAAGAACTAAGGCTTTAGTCCATGCTGCAGGTTGCCAAAATATGCTGGATTTAAAAGGTGTGTTTTCCATCTGCTTCTCTTTCAGTCTTTGTACAAGCTTTTCTGAAAATGCCAAAATAGTTATAAAAATATGTTTAGTAGAAAGACAGAACTCTGAGAACGACATGACAAAACTAGGAGGAATGACCATGTATAAAATAGCCCTCTGAAATATCAAACACATTCTTTAAGCACACTTGTCTCTTGGAGTAAGAGAAAGACCTAAAATCAGGTAAACAAATGATGGTTACACATACTTCCAGAGCATCTCAGGACCTCATGTGCCATAAACACTTGGAAATCGACACCAGCCTTTAGTTTAGAAGTCTGTGCTCCGATGCCTATCTAAGCAATAGAGAAGCAAGCAATGCAGGGGCTGTGTCCCAGCTCCACTCTGTGAAGCATTTGTCTTCTAGGTACTCCAGGGTTCAGGCTTTGTTGTAAAGAGAAACTATATGATTACATTAATTAAAACTTTGACTCAACCCTGTTGCTTTGCTTCCTATGCTTCCCACCCTACTTTGTCAGCAAGTTGCTGGTAAGTGGGTGGGGAGTGCCTCAAGCTGTATTAGAAAGAAAGATGCCCACACTGAGGCAGACCAACTGATACTGATCTGCAGCCTGCGGACACAGTTGAGAACAGTAATTGAGGCTCTAAAAACAGCAAGCAGGCTATGCAATGGGATTGTAATGTTCCCAGGGCAGAAAGAAACTCCTTGCCTTTTAGACTGCCCACATCTGGCTTCTGCTGGTTTAGGTTTATAACGCAATCATAAAACTATTCTTTCAAATAACTTAAAGCAAATATTACAAAATACAATCATCATACAATAAATCATAGTATTACTAGAATTCCTTAAATTGTGCAATGTTTCATGCAACACTAGATGCAGAGATGTAGAGAGTGGGAGGCTCTTCAACAAGTTTGATCCACATCAGGTCATACATAGGGCCATGTCAGAAGAATGATTTTGGAGATTAGCAGCAGCAAAATCACCCAAGCAAGGGAGCAAGTTCCATTAATGGAATGTTTCCCTTGGTGGCCTGAAATGCTATAGAATTTCACTTGTGAGTGAGGGAGCAGAGAAAGAGCAGAGAAAGAAATCTCCAGTCTGAATAGCTACTCCACAGGAAAAGGTAAGTGGTCTGTAAATTGTCGACAGCAGAAGGATCACTTATCTGACATGAGCCTAAGTTTTTTTTTCTGAGCCAGCCTTTTTTTTTTGTAGTCACAGCCCTACCTCCTGAGTTTGTGCTGCATTGTTACAAAGGTTGAAAACAGATGGCTACCCATCAAGCTCAGCCTCATAGCTGCAACTTTGATACCAATGAAAGAAAAAACTGGAAATATAGAGAGGAGACATCTAGGCCAAGCTAAATGTTTGCAATGTTTGGTTTCCCTTCCTTAGTATCAAAACTTGGTAGTTTCGAGGCTGAACTTGATGGATATCTCTCCAGTCTGTTATCAACCTTAACAACAATGCAGCACAGACTCAGGAGGCAGGGCTCCGACTACAAATGAAAGGCTGGCTCAGATTTAAAAAAAATAAAATAATAGGATTCTAGCACTGTAAAATCCTTTACTTAGAAATTAAGTAATTCACCTTAGGGTTATACTACCGCCTACAGGAGGACTGGACACAGGCAAACAAAAACACTGTAGGCCAGCCCTGGATAAAAATTATAATGTTACACTTTTCAGGCTAAAACAGACATACAATATGGAGATACCAACAGAACCAAAGTCTTAAAAAAAGGTTTCTGATGGCCATTATAATTGCTTGAAGATATTTTTGAGGCAGCTCTTTAACAGTTTATTTCATGCTAATGGGAGTATTTCAAAGCTAGACTTGGTGTCCTAAATATTACGGATGCAACGAGATGAAAATTTGTGGCCAAAACCAAAAGTTAAAAATGTGTTCGGCCAATACCGAAAATGCACGATTAGCCTCTGCCATCCCCTGAACACCCCCCTGGCTGGGTGGGAAGGAGGCATCAGCGGAGCAGTAAAAGCTCCTACTGTGGGCAGGCAGGGGAAGCACTGTATTATCTCAGAACAATATTTTTTCCATCAGCATTTGCCAATAGTACTATTTTCGGCTGAAACGTTTTTCGGCCGCTGATAATTCGGTGCATCGCTACTAAATATATACGTGCAATGTTTGGAACTGATGCAGGGCTCACACTTACCGTTTATTCTGTCTAGATATCGGAAGGATAATTAACTCACTTTAAACTTGGCATTTTTATGTGCATATTCACTGTGGTGTGAGGTGAAATTTATTTTTAGAATGCTAAATTTCACTTTTACCCCTTTAATAACTTGTGTCAACTGTAAAGTAAATCTGACCTGGCCTAAGCAGTTTCTAAAATATCACCTCATAGTGCCTGCAAATACCTGGGTTACCTCACAGTTTATGGCATTTGACTTTACAATGAGAGGGGTAGGGCTAAATTTTCACTTAGAAGCCAGCACCCTGGGTATAACATGGGTCTAGGATCCAAGGGGGCTTAAGTGATTCAATTGAATGCTAAAACAGGTACTGTGCCTGCACTTTTGAAATGTTTTATTCAGGCCATATTCACTTTAAAAGTAGGTGATGTGTAAACTTCTGCAACGGTTTGTAAGACAAATCCAGCAGAACAATATTTGTTCCTTATCAAACTGAAAAAGACCTCCATTTATTAGACCAGTGCGATCAGCATTTATACTAGGTAGGCACCCCACTCATAGCTCACAAAAGTATATCTCGATGGGATATTAATGTGTCACAATCACTTCATTTTATAGGAAGGAGAGTGATTGGGTTTTCCATTTCTTTTTGCGGTGCTGCAATCTGTATCCAGCAGAGCTGCTGGCTGACAACTCATTTTCTTCGATTTACAGGACTTTGCCTGCTTTGGAGCACTTAGCAAATGGTTAGAAAGAGAGCTCTGTTTTGAAGAAGGTCTAAGATTGCCAGCACTGTGCATCTTTGAGCTACCTCCAAATGCTGATGAATCCTTAGTTTGCTGGTTATTCAGTGCAGATTTTTTCTTTGTGACAACTCTCACGTCCTGGGTCTGTTTGAACACAGATGTTGGTACATCCACTGATCCGAGAGCTTTTGAGGGGCTTTTACGAGAGCATGTTAGATCAGAGATCTCACGCTGGGGGTATTTTCTCTGGGAGCTTTTCTCTTGCGCACAAGTCTTTTTAAAAACATTATCCTGATTAGAATTTTGTTTGCTAGGTGAAGGACTGTGCCAAGACTTACTCTTTCCTAAAAATTTCCCATTACCACAAAAAACGGGTGCTGTTTGAGGCCTCGTTTTCATTGTTTTTGCTTTTTCTGCCTGTACGGTTTGCAACTGTAACCATTCTAGCTGAAGAAGACGGTCAACATATCGCTCTAGAAATCCTGAAGGTGTTGCTTGCACTGTGTTTTTTCCTTCCTTGTTTACAAATGCAGAGACCTCACTAAGGTTCCACGAGTTGTATGGAGGAGGAAGAAAATCTGGATAGTCATAATCTTTGCCCTTGGGTTGAAAATAATCACTAAAATAGGCTGGACTGATCTCTTCAGCACGTAAGTTGAGCTCTGGAGGTGCAAGGGGGGAAGGTGGGATGGGAAGTCGCTCTGAATCGGAAAGGTCACTAGCGCTATCTTCATCTTCTTTTGTGAGCTTAACCAACTCCAAGTCCAAAAAAAGTTTCTCCATAGATTCCCTTGCATGTGGAAAGCAGGTCACATTCTTACTGGATGGCTTGTCAAATATAGGATATAATAGGTGTTGAGCATTTAAGTAACCAGGTTGCAGCATGATATTGCCTGTGACTTTGGTATGATCATGTATTCCATTACTTAGAACCAAGTCATCCGTACGGAACTTTTCACCGTGATTACATTCCAGTGATGACTCCTTTTTCTGCACTTTACTTTTACTTTGACACACAGCCCTGCAGAAAAATAATAATACACATCAATGTCATATCTATCTGTAACTCAAAAGATTTTGCTTAAAGACAGAAACAAGCCATATTTTTTTTGTCGTTTTGGATAGAGTGATAAAGGGTTAGAATCACTGGCAGCTTTATTATCATTTTGTTTTAAAGAGTTGACCTTAAAGCGAACCTTTACCCCCTTTCACTAAAAATCACACGAGCAAGCGGCTCTGCATGCTGATATGAAATCATCTTACATTCGTTAAACAAACATATATTCATTTTACTTACAATTATTGGCTTTCCACTTCCTGGTCCTCTTGGGCATTAGTGATGTAATGAGCCCGAGCATTGCATCCTGGGAAGGTTACATCAGCATTGCTGGGAAATCTCATCTGTTAGCTCATGAGATCTCAGGGAAAGGCATTGTCCGCCCCTGAGATGATGTGCATGGTCACATGTGCCAGAGTTCCAGGAAGTAAAGGGAGATCTGGTAACCTGCCCTTAGTAAAAATGGCCACTGTGAGAAGAATGGGGAGGAAAAGAAAAATAAGGTGTGCAAAGAATAAAAAGCCGGCAATTATCTTTAAGTATCTGTTTGTTGATTGACAGCAATAAAGTCCATAATGCTTCTCCACTCTCACTCTGTTAAAAAAAAAAAAAAGTTGGCTGGAGTTGGGGTTTTAGATAAACTTTTAGACCTTGATGGAAGGTTGCAGAGAGAAGTGCCAATATCTGTGTCTAAGCAAAGCTCACTGCTCCCTGCTGATTGCCTTTAAAGAAGAACTCTGGGCAAAGATTGCACTGCGAAGGCTAAGTGCTCATTTTAGTCTAGGTGCAAAAAGAACAAAGTTATATTTACCCAAACCGTGCAGCTGTGTGACTGTTAGAGTGCTCCCTCCAGCCTTTCTCCTCTTCCGCTGCAGTGATAGCAACAGCTTTAACCATGACCCCTTGAGCAGACATAAAGCCGCAAGTATCCCTAAAGTGTATGTAAACCCAGGAATGCAAGTTTACATGTGGTGGACCTTTTTTTTACCTGCTGATCATGCTAATACACTTCCTGTTCTAGGACGCTCACCCACTATACTGAATCTATGGAGGAGCAGCATTTTCTCCCTAGGCCTGAAAGTGTGTTGGGACTACAGAAGACCTCCCCCTCTCCACATTTGGGGAGGGGTTCAGTACAGAGCTTATTGCATAGTGCTTGAGATAACACTACAGAGTGCACAGGCACAGTACACTGGATCTTGCAAGCTCATTTGATTTCTAGCAGGATCGACAGGTATAATTTCACTTGTAGGAACACATAACAAAAAGCTTTCAATTGTATATTTAAAGAACCAAAAAGGAAGCAGATATGAGAAGTTAATTATTAGGATGTACATACACTTTAACAGGCCATCTATTATACCAGCTACCTAGGACAATAGGTTCAGTAGTCTTGTCTTTGGTAGACATGGAGCACCGAGGTCCTCTTTCCCACTAACACTATATGCAATTCAGTGGAGGTCATGATAAAAGGAGAAAACAAATGCTTTAGTTCCTATTGCAATTTACATTGTCACAGCTGCCCACATTGTTCACACTGCTGAAAGTACCAATTCATTTTAGGTCATCATTGTCATGGACCAATGCACCATGGTTGTAATGTGGCATAGTCTGAAAAAACGAATCTCCAGTTACAATATAAAAACTGCGGAAACAAATTGTTTTGTAACCGGTCTTTCATGAATATAATATGAAATGGGTAATAAAAGCCTCATTGCTGTGCGGTCAACAGTGAAGCAACAGAAGACGAGACACTGGGAGGGAGAGATTAAGTGTAACAAATCTACCTTATTGGCTGTTGAGGATTATCTGAGCAAGTTCGCTCATATGTGGAGTGTTTCAGTGGCAGCTGGGACACCTAAAAAAATGAAAACAATGCATTAGCACAGCATAACATTTTTGTTTTGCTAAAAGGAATTCACTATAAAAACATTGTTGTTTCAGACATGCAATGAAGGCTTTGCAGCAGTCAACCGTTAACTAAAATGTATGACCCAAAGAAAGTGTGAGCAGCTTTACGCACCATTTTTTCAGCACTGAGGTTTTCTTCTGCTGTATACTGCACCGCTGAATGCTGGAAAATAAGATAAATAAGATGAAATATATATATATAATTTTGCAATTATTTTAAGGATAAATATTTCAGACATAATATGAAATAAAAAGGCTAGACGTGTACCTTCTGTGCATTGCTGTATGTTTGTGATTTTCTTATTGGATTCTTTAGGTGATTGCATCTTTGCAGTTCTTCTGTCTTCGATCTGACAGATCGGGATTTCCTCTGTGACTAAAGGAAATTTAAAAAGAGATTCTTAAGGGGTTCCGTTATTATGTTATCTCAACATGTTACAGAACTGCTTGTGGTTAATACATGCAATGACAGTATTCAGAATATGATTTATTTTATTTATATTTTTCCATTTTACATGTCTTTATTTATATTCCCCTCTACATTTACATGCAGACCGAGCTGCCCAGCAAACGTGTCAAGCGTTAGTCCAAACTAGAATACTGCCAGGGGTTCTTCAACATGTTACAGAACTGTATTTTGTTTTAAGATTATAACTATTTAAATAAAAGGTAACAGTTGTAAGCACCCTGGTAGTGCGAGGGCCTGTTCACACCATCCTAAAATGCAGTAGCGCATGAGTCAAAGAGGACAATCCCTATAAAGTGAACCTGTGGTCATATTAAACATTATACATGTACATTGCTGAACAGCAGGCACTGTAAGATGCCATAGCATCACTTCACTTCTATGTGCAGTCTCCAAGGAGCACCGTCTAAGCCAGGGGTGGGCAAACTCCGTCCCTCCAGCTTTGGTGAAACTACAAATCCCATGATGAATCTGTCTCTGGAAGTCATGCCTGGTGGTGCGAGAATCTTGCAATGTTTCATGGGATTTGTAGTTCCACAACAACTGGAGGACCAGAGTTTTCCTACCTAAATGCCTGTGCAAATTTTGACTAAAAGTCAGAGAATATACCCTTTTTTCTGGCCACTATACTGTGCTCAATGCCTAGGAGCTTTGGTGGCTCTGCCACTAAAACATGTAACAATTAAGTTTTGCTTTTGCTCCTAATGGTGCCTTCCTTCCTGCACCAATGTTAGTTTAACATTACCATGTTCCAATGTTTGCATTGAATTGAGATGTTTGCGATGTTTCTCTAAATATTTCTTACTTTAAAAATTATCTTAAAATTTTGTTGAGAAGGGAGGCCCTCACTAAACCACTGTAGGAGGTTTATAGGAATCTCTTCCAGACATCATTGGTACATACATTACACTGCAAGGGTTCCTGGTTGGTGGACGATCCGGTGCTCACGGATGAGGATTGGCAAGATGTATGGGACTATCCTTTTAGCCACCTAGTGTCTGCCCGAGACAGGCTCATACAATTTAAAATTCTACATCGGGTGTACTACACTCTGGCAAGACTTGCCCGCATCTATGGCGGCAGCAGCTTTGCATGTTGGAGATGCTCTGATTCGACGGCAGATCTTATCCACATTTTGTGGGCCTGCCCACGAATCAGACCATTCTGGCTTGCAGTTACAAATTTTATGTCACAATTTGTTGAAGTGCCCTTCATTCCTGATGTGAAAACGTGTATTTTGGGGCTAACTGAACACATAGCTCCCACAACCGCAGGACAGATCTTCCTGGGGTTTTTGTTGTACTGCGCCAGGAAGGTAGTCATACTGAGGTGGAGATAGAATGCGCCACCCACTATCTCGGACTGGAAGGGCCTAGTAAACTCCTACCTAAGTCTTTATAAGGCTACATATCAGAGCAGAGGATGACGTTCGAGCCGACGTGTGAAAATGAAACTGTCACGTCAGCTTAATAGATTGGGAAGTGAGCGAACACATACCATCGCTCGCTCACTTCTCGATCATCTCTCTGCAGGGATTCCCCCCTCCCCGCTCCGATCCTCCAGCGCTGACTGGAGGAACGGACAGATAATCAGAACCAGCTTTCACTCACGCAGCTGGGTGGATCTCGACAGTAATGACGGGATCCATCCCGGCTGCGGCGGTCTCAGTATACAGCAAGCTGTAGCTTGCGATATACTGAGCTTTGGGTCATGGGAGGACCTTAGTATATGTCCTCCCATGACCCTTAAGAGAACTATGGGGAAAACACTTACCCCATAGTTCTCTTTTAAGGCTGGGTAAACCCCAAGGGGCAGATAGCCAATGTGCATAAAATAAATATGGCTGATGCCTAGAGAGCAGCGTTTCTCACCCTTTTTTCAGTCATGGCACCTTTAGTATGCAAAATTGTAAGGCACCCCAGTTTAAAAAAGTAAGAAATGTAAAAAAAATGGCAAGTGGTCCCATCCCAAACATTCAATACATGTTTATTATCCTGTGTTATCCTAGACAGGGGTCTGGTATGGATTTTAGTTTCTCCTTTCAGACAAGTTCCCTCCCACCTTTTACATTAGAAGTGAAAATTGAAGGCACCCCAGGATACCATGGCACCCTGGTTGAGAAAGGCTGCTGCAGAGTCATAGTCATGGGGATCAAAGCTCCTCATCAGAGGTGCGTCATGATGCCTGGTAGACCCTAAGGCTCCATTCACACCTGAGCGGCTGTCCGCGAGTATTTGGCTGTACGGATACGAGCGGAGCCGCTCTAAACAGAATATACAATGCACTTCAATGTGCATCGTTCAGACCATTGCGGGAAATAGTACAAGCAATACAATCTGGCGGATTCCGCACGTTCGCAGCTATTTGGGGCCCCATTCACACCAGTGTTTCAGCGCGATTTTTGAAAAGGAGTTTTCAATTGTGTTTCAGCACTGATAAGCACATTTCCATTCCAATCAATATGGAAAACTCGCTGATGAGCGCGTAAAAATAGCTCAGGGAGCAATTTGGCCAGCAGGCGGTTCGGATCGCGCAGAGCCACGCGATTGCATTGAATGGTCCCCATAGGAATGTATGGAAACGTTCATGTCGGCGGTTCCGCGCAGACAAATCTGCGCGACCAAACCATCCTGGTGTAAACGGGGCCTAATAGCTACAAACAAGCGGCATCCGTGCGGATTTTAAAATATTACTGTCTTCGCCCCATGCGGGAGCAGCACATAACATATGTGAATGCAGCCTAAAGTTGGCTACAGATTTTAGATTGGGAAGTCATCTAACTAAAGGAAAACCTTCAAACAGCCATGCACACTGGTTTCTGATACTTCTGTGGAGTACCTGTAATACTCTAACAGTGCACAAAACAACATCAACAAGATGTGTTCTTCCTCCATAGCCATGCATTAAAAAAAAAAAAACAGTTACACAAGCTATGTAAAAAGGACCACAAATGGCTTCTGCGCTGTAGAATAAGATACCAGAACAATGTAAATAATATTGTATCAGTAAATAGAATGAATAAAATATATTACAGCACAATATCAGTAGGTTCTTATAGCTTTGTATCAGCACTTCAAACATTTACTTTTCTTCAGAGATATTAACATGAATAATAGCATCCTTGTCCACCTCTGCATCGAAGCTCGATATAAGGTACACCCCTGTAATTGTTCATTAGTATATTGCTTCCTTGCAGATATAGCAATATAAAGAATAAACACTGTGCGCCACAGAGAAGCAGATTAGGAGAATGCGTTTCCTTACATTACCATGTCTCTGCAGTCTGTTCCTTTTCATTCTAGAATGTGACAATCCCAGACTACAGATCTCATCACAGATTTGGCAGAAGAGTGTGAATGTAGGCTAAAATTAAATGACGGTGCATCTGCTTAAAGCCTTCACGGTGCTTAGGCAAGACATCTGTGTTTGCACCCCATGACACAATGAACACACTCTTGCCTCCCTTCCCTTCTCCGTCATCTATAGTTCCTCTGGCACGATTTGTTTTGATGTCACGGGTACAATTCTTGATGTGAGGTAGGCACAGCCCACAGCTCCTCCCCTCCAACCTCAAAGACACAGGGCTGTCACTGAAGGATTGTGGGTAAACCTAACACAATACAGATAATGCTGCGGTACATACATACATACCTAAACCAGCATATTAGACACCATGTGCAAGGCAGACAGCTGCCCTAAATGACTGAAAACCATCAGAGAGAGAGACGTGCACGCGGCTATTAACACTCATCCACTGTAAAAGGTTTTAGTAAATGTAATGCTTCTCATATGCATGCTTATATTACTATACTAAGGATTAGGGATGAATTGAAAAACTGCCCCTAGTATAATAAACCTGATCCAGATGAGTTTTTAATAAAACTACCTAGAGCATAAAAACATGCACATCACTCAATATCTCCAGGAGGTCATGGCTCTGTCACACACAATCAAAATAAATACAGCAGTGTCACTTTTGTAGTGGGAGCCAGTTCATTTGTTCCGTGTGTATGTGGGTTATAAGAGGAAACAACAAACACCCCAGATGAAAGTCATACAATACACAGAGAATACACAAGCCTCATGCAGAAAATGTCTCATCCTGGAACTGAACTGAGGATTCCAGTGCTGTTAGCTTAATGCTAGCTACTTGCATAGTCAATGCGTTCCTCCAGGTCTGGGTGACATATCCATTATAGGAAAAGGCTGGATTACTGGTTTCATCTGGATAAGCTTAACATGTTAGCAACCCAGACCCAACAGACCAGCACTGGGAAAGTTAAAGCTGAACTCTGGACACAAAAAC